CATTGCAGATCGTGCATATTTCTTGAGTTGATTCATCGTAGCCATATTGGTTAACCGCTGTCCGCTGAGTAAGCGATAGTTTAGGATTACAAGCTGCTCTTTGAGCAACGCAGCTCAAGACTTTTAACAAAGCAATAAACCATCTTATCAGAATGACCGAATTTTCGCCTCACATCAGCGTTTCATTTGTCCTTCCACAGTATGACAGCTTACTGAACGGCTTTCAAGCTCTACTGCAATGATTGCAGCAGATCCTCCATTTACAACAAAATGCACAATTATTAACGATGTTGGCCCGTTTTCATAGTTTTTAAAAAAGAACTAATTGCGCTCTAAAAAGAGAACATTAAAAAATAGCTGATATTAAGATTTAACTGGAACCAATATTAGAAATCGCCATGGTCCTAACATCAAACTGGTCACATGGTGTCAAATCACACTCCGATCCGCAAGGGCACCAATGCCCTAGGGTGATAACGACATCAGGTTCCGCCTAAACTAACCTCGGGACTGCAGGGAAACACAGTGGCTCAGCCAGAAAAATTCCAGCATCATTACTTCCCATATTTCGCGCTCCTGTCTTCGAAGTTGGGTGGTGAGACAACTGTTGGAAGGTGATTAAATCTTCTATCATAGAGGACATCATTGAAAACGGACAAACCATGACGCCCACGGCATACCCTAGAGACTGCTTCCTGCTTCGAAGCTATAACAATAGAACATTCTCCCCAGACATCTATCAATGCCCTCTTCTTAAGGCCACTGGATGCACAAATTCCAAGTGATGGCCCTAGAAGAGACGAGAAGCAAAAGGACTGACATATGCCAATTGTTGGAGCAACTCTTGTCATTTGTGAAGAGGAATTTTCGTTATCGAATGCCAGAGGCGTTGGCTTTGTCACACACCCATCTACTTGCCATCTACTCACGCCATACGAAATCCTGTCACCGCGCTTATCCATTCTTCGTATCCGAATTGCACGTCAAAAGGATGTCAGTATATCAGCTGTTACTCACCGACCTGTACAGCTGGTGAGAGCGAACTGGACGTGTTCTACAACCAGTTGGAGGAAGTAATCCACAACGAGAAGTCCTTCTGTTGAAAATCTCTGTTGAAGACTTCAATACCAGATTTTGAAGAGCCAACGAAAATGAGTAGAGGATAGAAAATTTTGGAATAAGAGAGCGAAATAAGAATTTGAAATTGTCTAGTAAGAATGAAAATTGAAAACTGTCTTGCAAGACTCCTATCCACAGCACGTTTCTTCCATGAGAGATCATTTTTCGGAAATGGAAAAAATTGCCGATAGTCATGGGAGCCTCCTGATGGTATAACTCATGGGAGATTATGTTCTCATAAACAGAAAATATGATGCTCAACGAGTTCCTAGGGCGAACAGAACCCACTGGACTACTCTTGCATGCGACAGGGAAAAATGGAAGATTTACTGGCGCCCGCTCGAGTCACTCGACGATCAACAGGACTACAGGTGATAGGAGTGAAACAGAAAATAATGCTTCTTTGATATCTCAGTGATACGCGGATTCTCTACTGCATCAGATCACCGCCTGCGTGCGAAAATTCGGCTCAGCCACACGCTGGAAGAGAACTCCTGTCATCGTCCAAGAAGAACAATATAAGTCGTGTATGACGAGGATATTCCCAAAAAATTGCTCTCCTAATATAACTGGCATATGAATGAAGACTCGACCGAGGACTACACACTGCTCATCGAAGGACTAAAAACCTGTATAAAACGTGCTTCATTTCCTCGGACAAGTAGTTTGAACCGCAACTCCGTAACCATTGAGTTGTTTGAAAAAGTAGGACACTGAAGTTTCATCCTACTGCAACACATCTAACACGGCTGATGATATACGCCAGCCGTAGAAAACGTTTGCAGGAGATACATAGGTATAGACAGAAATTGTTGGATGCAGCTAAAAAACGATCTACTCTGACGACTACAATGTTCCGCTATCCGCCCCAATGAACGAAACAAGGGCTTCGCCATGAAATAGAATTGATAACAGAAAATTTCCATAGCAATCTGTTCTGCTCCAAATCCCTGTCTCGGATCACGAAATCCCCACTGGTGAAAAACCGTTCGGGATTCCACCTCTGAAGTTCGAGTTTCGATAAAAAGCATGAAGAGAGGCATAGCTCGAGGACCTGATAATACAACCGCCGATTTCTTTAGAGCTGGAGGTCACAACTTATATATGGTTCTCACAACCCACACCTTCAGGAAGAGAAAAACCCAGATTAGCGAAGGACGTCGCGCACGACCATCCTGCTCAAGAAGATTGACCGAAAGGATCTTCGAAACTTCTTTCTGATAAGCTTACTGAGTGTACTCTACAAGCTGTTCACGAGATCCCGACAAGGATTCTGCTGCATGGTCCACATCTAAACCGCATTACGGGTAGAGAAGTCTGCCGCGAATACCACCTGCCCCTAGTCTTTACTTTTGTCGGGTATGAAAAACCGTTCAATATCGTCGAAACGAATGCCACCCTACCAGCGCTCCTCAACAAAGGAGTGACGCCATTCCATATAAGAACTCCATCTGAGTGTTATCGGAAATCCAGCACAAATATACAGCTTTTCCATAGATCTCTCACCACACCCATAGGAAAAGGGTTCGACAAGACATCATATCGCCAAATCCGTTTACTGTCGCACTGCAGTGGATAGTAGTGAGCTCACTCGATTAGGACACAGGGGCATATATATTAATGGAAAGTTACTATCAAATGTTCGTTTGGCGATGACATCGTTATCTTCCTGAGCAGAACCAGTAAAGCGGAGGCAATTGTCAATGAACTCAACGAAGCGAGAAAATAGATTGGACTGCGCATAAGTAGGACGAACATCCAGTTGTTGAAGAATCCATGGTGCGAAGGCAAACAAACCAAACTGGATGGTTCTCTGATTACACAAACCATCTCCCACGTATACCTTCGACGTTCAGTGCATACTGAGAACGGCATTAAGGGCAGTTTAGATATAAGAAGCAGAGCAGCCTGTGCCGCATTCGGGCCTCTCAAAGAAAACACCGATCAAAGTACTCAAAAATCCGCGCTCACCTTTCCGTCTTCTCAGCGCCCTGTTATGAAACAAAAATGTGAGCTGATACTTTAACGAAGTCAAGAAATCTGCGCACCACACACAACAAAGCGCTTAAACGATCTCTTCTGAAATTCAACCGGTACTCACATTGCCTGGTTGGAATGTGCAGCTCAGATCCTTGAGACCTATCTCTGGAATCCTTCGGCAGAATATACGATAGGACGAAAAGAACAGTGGAATGGACTACAAGATAATGCAAGCGTCCTCTTCGAAGACCACCCAAATAATGGGTGGACGCGTTCGTAGCTAACTTCAAGCATTTGCATTCGAAGATGGGAACGCTTTTAAAAATTTGGAAAAGGTCTTACTGACATCATGTTCGAAGCAGACCACCACCATGGACGGCGACTGCGAGAGTAAGCGAATGGAAATTATTCTGGGGTCCACAGAACAAATCAGGACGGCCCACCCACGTATCCGAGTAGACTGAAACAACATAAATGTACACTAGGAAATTTGGGTGCCTACTATATCGATCACAGTTTCTTTTCTATTGACGAAACGAAACAACGTGGTATACCCGCCCGAGCAAGCAAAACATTGGAATTGCCAGAACAACGAATTGTTGTAGACACCATATTCTTCTTCCAAGGAACGCAAATAGAACACTGCTCCTTAAAGATAACCTCGGATTCTTCTCTTTCAAACGAGTTAAATATCCATGGAAGCGCCTTCCCGTAAATCAAGACTTAGCAGACTTGGATAGGAATACCTAGAAGAGCTAAATGACCATACTTCGTGAACAGGAGGTCCGCCCACCTGCCCACGAAATTCTGGAAGATGTCAGCCTTTTTGCACATTCGTCTATACTTGGTCAATTTGGATTCCATGCCCTCAATTCCTCAGATGATCGTTATTGATATCTACACCCTCCAACCGAAAAGTCACATAAATCATCGAAGGTTTCGTTTTTGTCTTTTCTCCTTTTCCGTAGAACATTAGAAAGTGGTTACACTACTATTAGTTAGAGAATAAGAATTTACAAGATAACTCTAGATCAGGGTAGAAGACCCATCTTACCAGTATATATGACCAGAAACATTTAGATAAATTGGGGATAAAAACACAGAAATTCGATAATCGAACAGTAGTGAGTCATCGCCGGCAAACGGTACGACATGGTAAGACGGAAATCGAATGTGGCACACAAACTAGGATCTGCGACTATTTATTGTTCTTAACACGAAGTAACACTCATATTATAGTAAGAAGTGGGTAAAGAAATATTATACATAAGTGGAAGGGTTATACCCTGAGTCACCGCTTGGAACAGAACAATAAAAGTTTTTCCCTTAAGTTTTGACAAGAACAACCTTACCTTGAAATTACATTGGTTACGAGAAATCCCAACAACGGCACACATGTTACGAAATAAACCGTGGGGCTTGATTCTAAATCTACGGCACGAAAACGAGCCATTATAACTACACAACACCACAACAAATAACAACCTCCAAATCTTCAAGACGTAAACAGAACAGAAATCTCAAGGTCTTGGGCGCGGGTGTCGATCACCATTCGAAAATTGAGGATATCATATCGTTTCTGAAAAACCGGCTAATTACGCAACACAACACACCACAACATTACTAGCAACATGCAGCAGAGATGTAAAGAATAACTGAGGCAAATTATGTTTATTTCCCTTCTCACATAAATTTACGCAAGAAATCTAGAATTCTAACAAGCATATAATGCATAACGACTAAAGCAAACAACTTCTAGCTTTCACCGAACAACTCATAGCTAGACCGTAGCAGATCGTTTGAGAACAAAACGCACAAAATACAGGATACTACGCAATCAGACACTGTAAATTTAAGCACAGAATGATATAATGCGAATTAACAAGAAGGACACGAAAACCCTACTGTTTTCCTCCGCTATTTGAAGACTGAAACACAGATGAGGACGCCATCAAATTCTGTATATACTGACCCAAGACTTGATTCTCGGAACGCAATTTCAGACTTTCTTCTTTCACAGCGTCCACACGTTGACTCAAATCTGAAATATGTTATAAACATGCTGTTTACCTCATCAATGCCCAGACATAGCCCTGCTGTGAAGAAGTGCTCGCTAACATGAACACAATTGACCATATGCGTTGAGTTCAATACACAACGCGGTTAAAGCTTATCTCGACGCTGTCAACAACGGAAATTAGGCGTAGTCATCAGTGCGCTATAGGTCAATTTTAAGACCTGGGAATTTTAATGTGGGACTGGAAATACAGTCATCGCAACAGGAGATAGACTTTTTTAGAGAGAAAACACGTGCGAAATTCTGTTCAGGACTAAACATGTCTAGCGTAGTTAGATATATAAGACTGATACTTTAATGAAAGATGGTCAGATTACCCAACCATGTGAATTCTGTGCCGTTGGCACTCAGCGGAAGAATCATTGAAAGCAATGAGTGTGTAAAGAAGCTATTTTGTGTTCAATGTGATTGAAACCTTGGCCTGGGATTTTCTCGACTTGGTTACGGAGGTGTCTAGCTGGGTTGATTCCGGTCATCTTGACCTTTCCAGGCTCTGAGAAAGGCGAAATCTGCCGAAACATCAGCTTCATCGCAATAGAGAATAAGACGTTATGTTTCGTCAACAAGAGTGTAAAGTAACTTTGGCACATTTTAAGAAAAGGAAGTACTCAATCATTGAATCTACTATTAAGATAGTGTGAAACGACACTAATTCATTCTAAAACTGTTTTTCACTGTGGACTCAAACTTGATGAAAAATAGCTCTTAACTAAATCCTAGGACCGAATTTCTATTAACCTCAGTATTGATCAATTTCTTCTTGACCAGCAGACACGAAGTTCTTATTACATTAGTTCCTTACAACCACTGACATTTCGGCGGGTTTCGCCTTCTTCAAAGCATGAAAAAGTCATACTGGCACTCTATCTACTCACTCAAACACTTTCGTAACCTCAGCAGATAAAACTTTGCACATAAAGTTCATTCGCACTACAAACCTACTGTTTATTCAGTCTTTTCTTAACAGGGTACTACGCGAAACAGAGCCACAAGGGCGCCCAGATATCAGCAGAAGGGTTCAGAATGGAAGGCGCCACTACTTTCGTATCAGATCCGTAGCCGTTGCCTCGGGCACTGTGTGTTGAATTGCCACTTCATTCATGCATGTCCGTTTACGAAAAACTGTATTTGCAACGCCTCCCAACAGTTTACCGCCTCATAGTGGCTGGGTGGTGTTCCAGGGTGTCGCATTTCGATGTAGAGCGAGAGATTCATCCCGCAGTATGTCCTCCCATCTCCGATGGAGGTCGGCGTTTCCATCAGGAAGCCCAGCTAAGAGTAAACCAATACCACGATCCGTCACCATCCTAGCACTAAATTAGTCGCGTGGTGGCAAATCTCCGATCCACAACGCCGGCGACTGCCTGGGGTAGTAGCGACCTGGGGGCCAACTTTGGTTGGGCTGACCTCTACACTCCAGGAAACCACGATGGCTAAACGAGCAAAACTGTGAGAAAGTGGAAATTATGCTGGGACCCGTACAATAAGTGAAGACGGGCCATCCAAGTATCAAACTAAGTATTTGCAACGATTCCATTAAAATTACTGCATCTGGTTTGGTAAGTTATTCTAAAACACAAAGTCGTAATCTTTACACAGAAATATTAATTTCAACTCGGGAAAAGCCTTAATTTCTCACCCTTTAAGCTAATCACTAAACTGAAGAAAAGCACGTAAACGTACCATCGAGGGTATTCTGCAGCTCGAGAACCTGAGTGATGAGACGCGCTTTCTCTTCAGGATCTTCGGCCGGTTCCTCTCTTGGAAGAGGCTGAGCTGGCCGCGGAATGCAACTGCCACCTATGATGGAATTGTTGTCATCTGAAAAACCATAGTTTAGTCCAAACCCGAAAGTTCTAGTGAAGAATCTCGTTGTATTCAACGCTCAAAGAACGAAATGAGGATCCACTTTGTCAAACGAATGGTTCCTAAAACTGTACTCCATTCCATGGTCGAGCTTACCTTTGTTTTCAAAACTTGTGGTCTGCAAACTTCATGACGCACCAATTTATCATTTTATTGACGAACATATCGAGGGTATTCAGTCTTTCAGATTTTTCTACCCAGCTACCTACGAACGTCAATGTTTGGGTGATAAGAGAGCCGCTGCCTAGCCCTTGTCCTTTCCGAGATAAGTGGTCGGAACTAGTGTTTAAATTGTTGAGCTTACATGAGGTTGATATAAAACTGTGGACCATCAACTCGGATCATCGGCTTTGATAAAGAAGAAGTCGTCGAAATGTCAGCCGAAATAAATCCCTATATTAAGCTCGTTTAAGCTTAACAATTTAAACCCGTTGAATGTCTTACCGCCGAGGTTAAACGACGGTCGATTTGAAAATCGGAACCCACTTATCTTGACTTACTAGCTGCAGTCTGAGATCTTTACCCTATTAGCGCATCACAGTTTGTTGACAAGAACATCACTTCGGCGGACTGCAGGCGGAAGCCAGGAAGCCCCACAGCGACACGTTCGCCCGCATAAGTGGAAAACGTGGCAGAATGCGTCCACTGCGACGTCTCGTAGGTGGGCGGCTGAGGACCATCACCAGTGGGTTCAAGCAGCACCGAGTTGAAGAAGTCACTCACCATCATCGGCAAGAGGGATATCGTCCGTGCCGGACAGCTTCGGCATCTCCGTCGCCGCCGCCTAGCCGTCGAGGCGCTCCACCTCGCTCGGCATCCAAATCGATATGATACTCAGCGAACGCGGCCAAATGCTGGGTGCTGGCAAGGGTTCGGGACCGACCGACACCCAGCAGCTGCTCTGTTCGTTCTAGTGGTGGTGTTTCGCCAGTCACAGCGAGTTGCCTTCGTCAGCGGATTGTCCGTAATCTTCTTCAGAACTGCTTTCAGATGGTGACCGACATGCAGCTCGGGATTTGCGCCAATGTTCTGGGAATTGGGATATTCATGCTGGTCGTGCTGTATCATTACATCACAGCCAATCAGCGATCCAACTGATTGTTGAGGAGTTCACGAGGTCCGTCTTTGTTTTCCCTGGTAAGTTTATTCTGAGGAATGATATCCAATCACGACGTCATCTGTCTTTGTCTGTTTCTATGGGCCGTGTGAGACACTTTATTCAGAAATGAATGTGGCTTCTTGTTTAGGGATTCCTGTTGAATGTTGACGATTGTGGGTCTGTTCTTCAAATGAGCCTTTAATCAAGGGTTTCTGCTATTTTTTTTTCGTGTTCTTTCTGATAAATCTTCTACCGATGTTTTTTTCTTTCAACAATCACGTTACGGACTGTGTACTTGTTTCAAGTTATGTTAGTTTTCGGTTTTACTAAGAGATCTAGATCATAGCTGAAATTCAGTTAAAGTCCACAGCGTTATAGTCTCGTTGGGATTTCTACTTTCCCTATAAAATCGAGTGTGTAACCCGTGAAGTGCCTCGATACTACATGCCAGGAAACCTACGGAATACGGGTTAGTTTCTTTTGCTGATGCTTTGTGCTTGAAGAAGTGAAAGTCCTTGTAAAGGGAAAGTATGTGAAACGGCTTGGTATTGCTGTTAAATTAAGTAGATGTCCAGCATTTCTATGCGATCTACCCACTTGAAGGAATACTTGGCAAGTAGCCCAATTTGATCCAGCATAGAAGCAATGCCGATTTAGGCTTTCTAGGTCAATCCTGTGGGCAGGTGTTTTTTGATAGCAGTGGTAGATAATAAGAAACTAGCTAGGACAGCGAAACGGAGGAGCCGCGTGATGTGGCGAACGCTTTAGCCCACGGAAAAGATAATTGCGCGTTCGTTCCCCATCGCAGACACCTGCGGTCCGGAGCTTTGCAAATATTTCAGCATCATTATAAAACCAAATATATTAATTCTTTAGTAAATGATATGTAATTGTTCATTACACTTGCTTCTTGTGCCAGTTGAAGCCTAGAACGTCGTTATTGGATCGACCTGCGCACTTTGGAATAATGTTTTTCCTACCTTCGCTTTTTTGTACTTGGTACCCATCGCTTAACTAGTGAGTTTTCAATGGTATTGTTAACAGCATTGTTCTTAATTTAATGATATTTTCCTTTCAAATTTTGATCATCAAGTGATAACGTTTACAATTTATGGCAGCAGTTAGGCGTTGAATTTTGGTTTCTTCGCGAAATCTTGATGTTTTTGTAGAATTTGTGTTGATAGGCGGCATACCTCCCGCCAGTCCGTCCACAACAACCGGCGATCTCTCGTGGTGAAAACCTTGAAACACTTTGGCATGTCTTAAGGATTCCAATGAAAATCACTTTCGGCCGCATTCAATGTGTTCACGAAAGGAGGAGGAGGAGGGAGGGAGGGGGGGGGGGGGGGGGGGGGGGGGGGGGGTGTGGCAGACCCTCAAATTGGATGGAAGCATAAAAAATAAAAGGTCTCGGCGTGGATCAACCCCTGAAGGATGCCCTGCATTCGACTTCATTAAGTATCGTTGGAGGTTATTGAATGCATATCTGGCCTTTACAATGAATGACTCGCGGTGGCCTACCGATGTGTGGATCCAGCACTGCTATCCTTCCAAACAAGTCTGGTATGAATTTGCTGACTCCGGGAGCCGGGAGGATGGAAGGCTTGGCGGGCCAGGGGCCCGGGAATATACCCCATGTGTATTGCGGAGAGTCTCCAGTCACTGCGCTACACGCGCCCTCTAAATTGGAAGCATATCCACAATCGGATCCAACGGCGTCGTGGGCAACTGTTTGCTGTTTCACTGTCCACTCAATCGCCACTTGTTACATCGTGGTTATAACTTGCAACATATCGTTCTTGTTGAATCTTATCCCCAACGTACCCAAACTATGGTGTGTATAGTCGTGACCAAACAATATTGTAGCCTAGATTTGGTCGATAAAATAATATTACCGTGTTTGGTCTGCTTAAAATATAACGATGTTCTATGTGCTTCGGCTGAACCACCTAGTTAATCTCTATCCGACCACTATGTTTTTAGGTTTATCCATTCTTCTGGGAGTTCGAGAGAAAGGCCTTTCCTTACCTGTGTTGTAGAACAGTAAATCCATGCGAAAATGCTTTGTATAATAATGACTATTAGCAAGTATTGATCGTGATAGTACAAATAGCTATAGTAATTTGTTCCTTGTAGCCTAAGAAATTCTTAACTATTTGTGTACTTTCTCTACGTCTTTTGTTAAGTTTTTCCCGTAGTGTCCGAATATCGTGGAAGTTTTCCCAAGTTGTTCGAACATCATAACCGAACATTATGATTCTATTTGTCTGAATCTCTAGGTCCACTCGCTTATCAGCCAGGAACTTCAAGCGCTCATTTGCCCTCTGCTGCAAAACAATTTAGATTTGGAAATATTACCCGCAGTGGCTATTCTACGCCAGGAGGATACTCTACGAGTTCCGGGTATGTCTCATTTCCTAAATTTCTCCATAAAAAATCTGTCTTTCAAACTTCGCAGGATGCTTGCTGATGTGTTCATGATCCAAATTGACTGGTTCTATATATAGTGCTCACTCACTTTTTGGGACAGTGGTCTAGTAATTGCATTGTTTATGTAATTGCAGATATACTGCAAAAGGTGTATTTGGAATTATGAGGTAAACGACGTTGGAAAATATCTAGCAAATGAGAATACATGTCACATATGCCTTACCTTGCTGGTACAGTGCTAACACTAGAGGGTTTCTTAATTTCAGTGTTGTAGTGGAGAATATAAGGAACCTTTTCAGCATACCCTTTCTGTGGTTTCTCGTTGGGCTTGGTCTAGAAGCGTAGTGAGAGAAAAATGCGGCGGTCTGTGGTTTCTATGTCGAATTGAAGCGGTATTTTTTCTTGGCTACCTTGTGGTAAAGTTTTACTGTCTGCATAGTTGGTTCCAGTAAAGCTTTTATTTGTAACCGCCACGTGCAAAAATGGTCCCAGGTTTCTCCTCGCTTTCTAAACTCGCCGAGCAGCTAATGTTTTGTCTTGGGTTTTCATGAAGAATTCTAACCAATCTCATATTGGTGTTTTTCCTTTTATACACATGCTGTATTATATGATCTTATAAACTGGTCTTTGTATGACACGAGTGAAACTGCACTCGTAACATCACGGCTGTGAGAAAGGCGAGATCGCCGAAACGTCAGCCATCGACCAACAAGGACAACAGCAACAACAACAACGACAACGATAACGAAAATCCATACCAACCTCGCATCAGCTAAAGAAGATCAGTTCATAAGTTCATATAAATAAATATATCAACTATTTATGCCGAGGTTTGTAGAAAGTCAGTCTTCTGAGCTATACAAGTGATAGTTATCTCGTGACACTTTCGCTAACTTCACTATGCTGCTGCATCACATCACAGCGACGTATGCAGTGGTGTCTCTGATCTATTTTCGTTGACGATAGAGCACTAGATTTTGTTACACGAGCCACTCTATAACGTCTGTTACTAGACTATAAGTTAAGGCACTAAAAATCTTATGTAGACGTGTGGCCAGATGCCTCAGTACTTCTTCCGTTACCTCTTTAACGCACTCTCCAGTCCGCTCGTTTTCTTCTTCCTTTTTTTCTTTCTCCTTCGCTTTTCCCCAGCCCGTGCCAAGTCATCGCATAAATATGTCGACCTATATATGCACAGCTGGATCATTTAGAGACATCCGTTCCAGTGAGTGTGAATACGACATTAGAAGCAGATTTATTTTGCATATATTTCGTTTTCGTAATAAAGGGGGAACCGAGAGAAGACAGATTTTTTGATGCATCTTTAGGATCTTTACATATTCAGCATGGACCCGGTCCTGCAGGGCTTCCGTGAACACTTCAGTCGCAGTTGGGTCTAAAACCTTTATAAATCGTTGAAAGTGAGGCAAAGTCAGTTTCATACCCTTGCGATGTTTCGTGCGGTTCCATTATGTTTTTCGGAACACTACTTTCTCATGTGCCTGTCATACCTCAAATGTTCTGTAAATCCTGTGTTTATACACAGAACGTAGTACCAAATTAGGCTGCAGGTGCATATGTCTCCCTTGTCTCCCGTTTTGCACAACGTCCTGGTTTCGTGTTGACTGGGAGCCTTCCATTTTTACACGTGACATTTTAACCATTGAGAAGAATACGTCATCGATCGTCTAATATTGAGGCAGGTCTGCGTGGCTGTCGGAGAAACTGTAGTCGGGATCATGGATAGTTTTCTCCATTACCGTTCTAATATGTAGTGGTTGTTATACATGGACGTTATAGAGTGGTCGTGCTATATTTTCTGGCCCTGGAGAGCATTACTGATATTCTTCTCAACCTCTCCATCTTTAACAAGTAGTGCTTCTCTTCTGTCATTAAGGTGTTCGATTGCCCGATGTTCCCAAGTCGTTTACTTTAACGTGTTCCGACGTTCATTTTTTTCCCAATGTCATAAACTGCGTTCGCTCGTTTGGTGGGTGTCTTTTTGGCCGTCTAGTCCTGTCATCTCGTACTTAAATATTTGGTGTACATCACCAGTTCTTCAGTGAAGTATACAGATGCTAGCTGTTGTGTTACAAACACAGATCATCCTGATAACCCTGATATCTTAGCAGAGTTTCCGTAGTTGTCGTACACAGCGTCGTCTTATCGGAAGCTCTTTCGAAATGATGGGAATGGTTCAAACTTTTTTACTGTTTTCGCAGTAATTCCCAGGGGAGGCTGTCCAGGTTTCCTTAAATAAAATTTATTTTTCTCGGAGACGACACGTGACATCTTACTCGTTTTTTCATTTATTTGATTGGTTCCTTTGTATCAAGTTTACGTGGTTACGGTCCGCATTTACGCACGCATACCCACACAGAAATATGTCTGCTTACGAGCGGAGTGTATATACTAGTTTGGGACAACGAAGCGGGAAGCCCATCCCCAAAACCCCTCTGCATCTCATGGCAAAAGCGTCTTTTTACATCCGCGTTTTACCTTATGCATAACCTGGAGCGCAAGGCATAGCTTCGTTACTAGCTTACTGCAGATCACCCTCTGAAGTAGATCTATGGATCGCTTTTACAATTACTCCATTAAACACTTACAGGACCGATCGTGTTGGCTGTTTCACCGCTGTACGAATGTCAGCTTGGGCGAAATTGACTCGTTTCTCACGACGATTCATACACTTCAAGCAAGTGAGTAGAAAGTATATAGAGTACATTGTATAGAAAATACATTTGTAAACCAGAATGGGCACACAGATACATTCGCGACGACACAAATCTTCTGGTTGCTCATCTTTTTTTTCTCTTGCTGCACAAATCTTTTTTGCTGTACATTTGTGTTTCCAAGTGTCATCTGAAGAAGACTATTGCTCCATTTAACAATATTCGAATTTGGGACAAGTTTTTTTTGTCCAATCTTATTTCTTGGGAAAAGGTTATTAGCAAAAGCTACTAAGATGTGTCTACTCTTCTCACATGATGTGCAACACTTAGGGACATCTTCCCAGCATAAGATGGTAAATCATTCAGGAGACCTATAACGAATAAATATAATTAAGCTGTATTTGTACACTTAGTACACTGTACACTCAATGTCAACGAAATTATTGATTTTGAAAGAAAATAAATGCTAACAGATAGCCCGTTCATCGGTGTGCTTGCGCAAAGTCCATCTTTTCCAACACTACATTTTCTAAACTTATCCACATAACGTTCACTGATGTAGTTGTTGTTGTACTCGAAGTGCTGGACCTTACGTTCTGTGGTTTTCATAATTCTTTGCATATTCAGTTTCTACCATCCTTTGCAAAATATGTTTTGCAGGTACCATTTGCAGTCTTCTGTATTTCCATTGCAGTGCTACTGTATTGTTATTGCAGTCCATTATTTTGTCTCTTATTGAAACCTATCTAAATTTAGCGAGAAAAATTGAGAGTAAAGATCTAAATATAGATATTTATTTTACTTGTTGCATCTGGTGTTCATCTGGTTGGCACGTTTTGAAGCGAAGCATTATGTGTAAACAAGGAGTAATGCCTGATTACTGACTTCTATATTCCATTATTGCTTGAATGTAGTGCAGTGGTTGGAGGCGCCTTTCAATACACATGGATTGCTCCCCACGCCCATCCAGCCCTCCATCCTTCCGGAGCCTGCAAATTGATACCAGACTTGTAAGAGGGGACAGCAGCACTGGCTCGATACATCGGTAGGCCACCACAAGTCATTCTATAGGCCAGATATGCATTCCTTCACGTCTAACGATGCGTAATGAAGTCGAATGCATAGTGCATCCCTCAGGGATTGGTCAACGCCTGGAGCTCTATCTTTTTTTTATTGTTTTCTATAATTCACGATCCTGAGTTGGTTGAAAGGATAGTGTCATTTACCGTGAGTGTCATGATAATGTCTTCTTTTGTTCGTACAGTTTAGCACCATCATAACATTTCGATTCTGCTGATTCTTCATATGTCATGCCGTATTACGTGCTTGGAAAGTCTTTTATTATTACACCTGCCGAATATGTAATTCTTTTGAGCAATCTAGCTACCAGTTATGCACCGTTTACCTATATGCATACTACATATACATAGCAAGTCGGCAAACGCTTCTGTACCACACATTCAGCCACATCTACAGTTGTAAGCATGTCTCACCTACTTATCTTATAATCCCGATTCCAATAATACCTCGGCCGTGTTTAAGTCTGACTTTTTTTCACCTTGAGAAAATAGAAACGAATGAATGCACTTTACTAAACCAACTTTCGTCCTCGGCGTTAATAATCGATGTTTCTTTTGGATTGTTCAGCTTACACAAGGTGTTATTTCGGCTTTATGCTGTGGTCTCTATAGTTGTAGCGAGTCGAATCTTTCTAGATAATTTTAATCTCGAATCTTCGAGTCGTGCGATGCTTTACCAAAAAAAGGTTCTGCTCGATACTATAGTGATGACCAACAAGGCGATGGCGAACCGTGGATCATCGAGTCGGATCAATCAGCTCTGATAAGGAGGAAGAAAAAAGAAAAAAATTAGACCGTTAGCCGAATAAAAGTTTTATAACAATTTAATATAAGCTGAACAATTTAAAAATATACTAGTGAATGGCTTAATCAGTTCAGCATTTATCTGTTCCTGTGATTAATATTATCTGTTCAACTCATTTACAATCAGCTTCCAAAAATGTTGCAAAGGAATATGTGGAGGTTCTGCCAATCAAAGTAGGAACTGTTAATCAACCACAAATTTCTGGCGTTGAAGAATCGCTGTTTTTGAGGCATAACATTGGTTGACTACACAACCCTAAATTGGTCATCTCATTCATATCAACAACCTTCAACAAGTATCAAAAGAACAACAGTTTCCCCTATCTTTCTCAGTGTCTCCGTTGTTTTCTTGTTTATTCTGGAAGAGCCTATCAGTGGTAAAGTTGAACTGTTTTCTAGCTGAGATGACTTGATCATGCGAAATTCATTTTTTTTACCAATAGAAAAGGATGCTGCGAATCACATGCATTTGTTAACGTTTACTGCGAAAAACTGGTTCATCCTATGTGCTAGTGACACAAGACTGGGTGTCGTTGCGAATGGGTGAAGGTGGTTTTTTTAATGGCAACTGGGTTTAACGAATGGCTTTGACTCAGGGAAAGGGAAGGGAAATTTTATTTTTTTATTTTAAGGAAATTCGGAAAGGACTAATTCATTTGGGGTTGGTAAATTTAAGCCCACACATTTTGTTGGTCTTTCGTCATTAATGAGAAGTTTTGTATTTTCAGTTATAGATAGTTGCTTTATTTTCGTTGCAGATGGATTTCGAGTTTGCTTCATGGCAAATGCTTTATCTGTTGATTCAACCACAAAAGGTTTACCGCAATTTTATATACAGGAAGCGTAAGTCTGTACACATTTTCTGCTTTCTGACGGCTGCTCGTTTCTTTCGTTTTACGGCTTGTTGCTTACTTTTATGTTTAGGGACAAAAGATCAGTTTGCTCGTGACGACCCAGCGTTTCTAGTTCTATTATCTTTGGCTCTCTTATTTTCTTCTATCTTCTATGCGGTTGCTCTCGGCTTGACTCTTTGGGGATTCGTCAAGTTCTTCTTCTGGGTTGTTTTCGTTGACTGCATTGGTGTAGGACTAGTAATCGCAACAGTTTTGTGGTAAGGTTTTCCGTACTATGCCGTGAAATATGCTGTAAAAATTCTTATTTTGCATAGTTTTTAATTCAAAAGATGGTTCCAGGTGGTTGTCAAATAGGTTCCTTCGCAAGATACAAGATCAAGATGTGGAATGGGGTTATTGTTTCGATGTACATCTCAACGCCTTCTTTCCCATGTTGATTCTTCTCCACGTACTCCTTCCAATAATTTATCCGAGTAAGTGGATAATTCTCAAGAAAGTTCTAAATGTTCAAGCTTTCATACATTGACGACGACGTCTATTTTATTTCTGTCTATGAGTAGTATGATTTGCATACGCGTTGTGATTTATATACGCGAAAATACTCGATAGTAGAGACGTGAGGTGCTCGGGTGAATATTAGTAGTGTCTGTTACTCCATCTGTATAATAAGTAAAGAATCGCTGTTGGACTAACATATTTATATTCGTGCAGAACAGAAATCTTGATATCCCTATCGCTACATCTGTGACTACTAAGCAAATGTTCATTACTTCATCCCACTGACCGGGTGAGTTTTCAATAACGGACGACAATTTTTCAATAAGTAGGCTTTTGAAGAAATGAGGATTCGGAAAAGACAACAAAGTTTGTAAGCTGAGAGAGATACTTAAATTATTTAGATTGTTCGGAATGCCTGGATCATTTCAGCCACGTATGACTCATTGAACATGATTATGTCTTATAAAGTTATTGGGTTAAAATCTTTTAGCTCTGGTCGATTCTCCGTTCTTTCTGCCAATCGCACTTGGGAATACTATTTGGTTCCTTGCAGCAGTTTATTATGTCTATATTACGTTTCTCGGTTATACAGGTTTGTTTACAAGAAGAAATTAGATAATACCACCTTTAAAGTTCCTTCGTTTCTCTGTTTCTATTGGTTCACTTTTTATCTTTAGCGCTACCAATTCTGCATCGTACGCACTATTTCCTGTATCCCATGACGTTTTTATTTATCCTATGGGTGGCTACGATTACTGCTGGATGGAACATTTCTCGGAGCGCCATGGGCTTCTACCACTACAGAGTGCGATCTAACGATTAATTTGGTCTGCTTTGTGACATGTAAATATAGAAGTTTACTGCTATTCGTAAGAGGTCCTAATATCTTGGGATTTAAATGTCTAAAAAAGCCCAATCAAAAGTGGAAAAGAGTCACACTGCTTGCTGTGTACTGTAAATGAAGTATCTTTGTGCATCTACATGGTGAAAACTATTTGTATGAAAGTATATGAGCGACGATTGCTAATTCAACTTGTTTGTTCCTGAAAAGTTGCTTGTTATTCTGTTCCTCTTCATTAAGTTCTCCATTATTTTTGCGGTGTTCGAAAGCTATATTTGCTGTTTTGTTGGCTTTTCTAGTGAGTCAATGAATTACTATTTATTTATTTTTTTCAATTGTTTCTTCTATATGACCGTGCTTCACATCTACTATGCGGATCCCAGCACTCACGTTCGATTCGTTTCCACGCATCCACTTTCCACGAAGTCCTTCCAACTTTATGTGTATCTTCGGTTCCTGCTTGAGGATTTTCATTTCGTTTTGAACGTCGTAGAGTGCTGGTCGAGAAATTATCCCTGGAGTCCTGAGGTAGCCGTGCTGGAGGGTTCACAATTAGATTACAGAAAGTGATTTTTTCCCAAATAAGTCCCACCAAGCCTTCCATGCATCCGGGGTCCGCAAATTTGTACCAGACTTGTCTGAGAGGATAGACTAGCTCGATACATCAGTAGGCCACCACGAGTCATTGTAAAGGCCAGATATGCATTCAGTCACCTTCAACGATGCTTAATGAAGTCGAATGCATGGCGCGTCCCTCAGGGATTGCTCAGTGCCGAGAGCTTTATCCTTTCTATCGTTTTATATGTGTAAAAGACTGGATTCGTAGACCTGCGGATATTTTATTCAACGAGAGTGGTGTGGTGTCCGTAACAACTCTATTTAGTTCATCTCTTTGCATTTTGCACTGTTTTTCAAGCATTGTTGCAGAATTGCCTAATGTATAATAACCATTCTCTGTTTTAAAGTTTGACTGTGTATATCGACAGTGATAAATAGAGATGTAGTAGAAGATCCATTAAGCACGATCTGCGATCATGAAAGTAAGAGGTCCGTCGAAAGTTGGGGAGTTGTGACAAACTTCCTACAAATTTTCTGAACTCATGTTACGCTCCGACGGGATCAACCTGACCCTGTTACGAGAGTTCCTGTAACAGACTTTCGAATGTTCGCAGTTTTGAAGATCTGTTGTCTTAAAATGCTTTGGGTTGAGGATTGAAAAGCTGAGGGTGTAGGAAAAACAGCATGTTCACTAAGAAGCTTCGATATTTCTGAACAATGATCCATACATGAAATTGCCTCTTGGAAAGGCTGTAAGTACTTCCGTTCTGTTTGGACTCCTATATTTTTGTTTAACTTTGTTAATTTATCTTTACTTCACATGTAGCGACATCACGTATTATGAGGATTCCAACATTTCTTGTATTCAATTCGTTTCCTCTCCATGATCCGTGAAGATGGGCTTTTTTTCTTAAAAGTTTTACATGTGGATTTGGCTGGCTTGAGGAACCTTGGTCTTATTTGTGACTGTCGTCGATTGTGGATGGGATGATGGAGTCGATTCCTCTAAAATCTTAGGGAAGCGATAATAGTGTGTTTCGAGGTCTTCATCACAGACTTGCGTTAGCTTTTGTGGATTTTAAGGGTGAACTGATCCAAAACAAAATCTGGTACTAATCTTCCGACCTTGGTTAGGGGTTCTAAGGGTTTGACTAGCTCGGGACGAAGTCGAACCAAGGCCTTATGCGAATTGAGTACGCCCCACCAACACTGGTCGATCTGCAGTCTCCATATAGAGCAACGTGCGCAGTTAGGGTGAAACATGGTAAACACTGGGCATACACCTACGCAGATCAAAAATGTGTTGGGAGCTAGATCTGTTATATTCGTTCCATTTAGTTAGTTCCCTCGTTTCTGTGAAGAACAGTATGCTGTTTCTCTTTACCAAAGAAATATAGCTGCACTTTCAAGAGGTTTCATACAATTCAAAAGTTCTGCCACAAAACTGGGTGACCTTCCATGTAACTAAATTACTCAACTTCACGACCGCAATCATAGGTACTTAAATCATTTATTTTTATTGTCCTAGAGGTCTCAGCACTACAATTTGCTTATTCCTCTTCAAACTTAACGTCGGCAAGTCGAATAGTAAACAATAATAATTGCATTATTCTGCCTGCTATTCTGCAACACTGCCGTCATTCCACCACAAGAAAGATCCCAATACCTTCAAAAGAATGGATTGTGCTATATACGTGCATCCTCGTCCCACAACACATTTCAATGCAGCAAAGCATCGTGTTATAAGTGATAAAAACGGCACCGTACATCATGCTGCTTCTATTCTTCAAAAGAAAAACTCTTCACATCATCCTCGAGGAATGAAGGAATTTAAAAAGATGTAAAGGATAACAAAGGAAACTGAAAGAAAGGAAACCGACAACAAAAATAAATCAAGTCGAACAAGGGACACGCGACGAAGAAAATACATCGACACTATTAAACAACACACTACAGTCAGCTTTCTTACCTACAGGAGAAATGACGGAAATGGATCCAGCAACCAGACAGCTAGAGAAGATCTCCGTATTGTTGGACACTGGAGCAGAATTATCCTTCATAGACGAAAAACTTGCTCAAGAACTTCGTCTACCTTCAATGGTGGAGACGAAATTACGACTACACACATTCGGATCAGATGAGGGAAAAGAAAATATGTCAAGCAAAGTTCCATTAGAAGTATGGAAAGGAGGTGGGCATCAACTTTCACTATTCCTGTTCGCACACGATGCCATAACAAAGCCGTTCAAGTCGCCACCAATCTGTCCAGAAGATGGAGACTTCATTCGAAAGCACAATCTCCAAATCGATGTCAACAAAAACAAATCTAAAATCAAGCTGTTCATATTGTTGGACTGTAACCAACTGTTGACTCTAATAAGAACCAGTTGCTAGTGGAAAGTAGGCCTTCGAGTTAGTTCTCGGCACCGAATAGCCACTAGCTTTTAGCAGAATGCTCGACTTCGTGAGAAGACGCCACGCAGGACTTTTCGTAGTTTTCACAGGGCAATACCTCAAACTGGGTAATTGAACCATTTATATACATAAATGCAACACCAATACAACACTAATATCGGCGGGGAACTACTGGCACACAAATGAGACAAGTTCAAGGATATGAGGTGCTGTAGGATCAGAACGTTGATGAGGATACACTAGGCTGATGGGAAGCGCGACGTAGTGACAGTGATGCTAAACTAATGTACAATTTTCAACTGTCATTTAATAATGATGTGATGAAGTCAATGTACAATAATGACTACGTGCAGCATGACTTAACAACTACGATAATCTACATTGGTGACACAGAGATCAATACGGTACGGATCTAAAAACCGGACGAACCTTGACAGGGGCGAACCAGGATAGCAATTAACGAGGCTATTTATATTCTTCTGGAGAAGGCGGTATTTGGCAGAGGTCCAGCCTTTTTACCGAAAATATTAGTCGGCTACCGTCTCCAAATCCTCTCAAAACCAGTGATCAGCTGGCGGAAGACTGCTCTCGCAAACATCCCCATGCCTTTCTTGTTATTGTACGCATGATGACTTTTGGACAGTAATAACAAACAACAAGTTCAGGTTGCAAAAATAGGTTTGCATAACAAAACTGTTTATAGCGATCGAAGTTCCTTAGGATGGGATCAAAATATTTACGTACTACAACATTTGCTAGGCAACTTGAGAAACAGTGGATAGATATTATCCTTACTAGAGAAACATACAGTAATAGAAAGATAGAAATAGATATAGAAAGAAATAGAAACTATTCTGGTAATAATTGCTATAACCGACAAACCCCACATTGAACTGCCTTCTGGGCTACATTTTCGAACACGTCTCGGGTACTTGCTGACAGGAAAACTCAAAAATTCACTAGAATCAAAACAAAGAAAGTGAGAACTCGCTGCATCTACAGCAAGAAGAAGATAATGAATTGGATAAATGGGATCAATATTGATCGTTACATATCAAAGTCAATACTGCTCTCGCCGAGCATGATAAATGAACAGACGTATATGAGGCATCTCCTCTACGGAAAACAAATTACAAAACTACAAAACGATGTACGCACTATATCACGAATATCACCAGCAAAGGTACAAGAAGATGTTGACAATTCGGCCGTGTTTCATCAGCATAACAAAAACCTCGTCAAAAAGCATCTACCGGCAACTCCTAACACTGGAAGCCTGTATGCCAAAACACTTCTTAGGAGCGGCCTTTCCCTTACACACTTAATTACAGCCATGGCCATACTAATATTTTTGGGACGCCACGCTTTCCGAGCTTACCACTCTACAATAATTGGAGTGATTATTAACCTAATAAATTCACACCAACCTTCGAATTTCCCACATATAAAGCGCATTAGCGGAGGAGCCCACCTCTTTTCACCTGGTCACTTCGCTCACAAAATATGTGTGGATGATTACTGTGAAATCGTGGAAACACCACAATCAAGCGAAGTTATAAATTTTTCTCGACCATGAATACTTCACGATCATCACATTCAGTGGAAAACAGCTGACATTCGATTAACTGACATAGCTGCAATCAGTTGTCCGTTTAATTAGGTGGGAATATTGTTAAATGAAGACTCATGCTCTTGCCTCACCAATCTCGGCTTGTTGTAGCCGTGCACGTCTTGGCTAAGTATCGCGTCATCAACGCGTACTTATCTCTCATCGTACTGGAACATGAATTACATAGTATTACACCTTCTTGAACCATGTTAAACCCTAATAACGCCGCTACAAGCCATAATGTTTGCTCACCATCCAATTAACTTAACTGTGACTTATTTTACAACTCGCATCTAATGCTTGTATATCCAATGCATCATTACTCGCGCTTGGCCACGGCATCTTTTCGAACAACTACAACTTACGTATGAGTCCCCTATTCTCATACTGTTAAACTGAACAATTGCATTCATTCATAAGTTTGTCACTGCACATCCTTGCAACATCAACTATATTAGATTTCTCCCTCTTAAGCTTTATGAGGGCTTAATCTCCTAAGCGCTCACTTCAGCACCATATAATCTTCACACATCTTTCGTTTCTCTTATAGCATGTCAACTGTCTCGTCTAAACTTTTCATGTCAACCAGAGTGTGTCACTATCGTGTATTTGTATTACTGTACATAATTGTTAGTGTATTCTATTTACTCAGATTACTACCTACTGAACCACCTTAGTTGCAATTTATTGTACATACATTTCTAGCGTAATTGCGTTATCGTGTAAATAGTATGCATATAAGCGGTTTAGTTACCCAAGCTTGAATTTGAGGTGTCCGGCATTGTGACTGTTAATGACCAAAAGCCCTGTGTGGCACAGGCAAAGACGAGCAGCTAATCCGACCGAATCTTCTCAACTACTTGGTATTCATATATCAGCGAGCCGTCCCAACAACTTTGTAAGTTTTTGCGTGCCTTTGCTTGTGCCACGTGGGGCTTTTGGTCATTAGCAGTCACAATGCTGGACACATCAAACTTGGGTAATTAAACCGATTATATACATAGTATTTACACGATAACGCAATTAGACTATAAATCCATTTACAATAAATTGCAACTAAGGTGGTTCAGTAGGTAGCAATCTGAGTAAATAGAATACACTAACAATTACGTACAGCAATACAAATACACGATGGTGATACACTATGGTTGACATAAAAAGATTAAACAAGACAATAACATGCTATAAGAAAAACGAAAGATGTGTGAAGATTATATGGTGCTGAAGTGAGCGCTTAGGAGATTAAGCCCTCATAAAGCTTAAGAGGGAGTAATCTAATATAGTTGATGTTGCAAGGATGTGCAGTGACAAACTTATGAATTAATGCAATTGTTCAGTTTAACAGTATGAGAATAGGGGACTCATACGTGAGTCGTAGTTGTTCGAAAAGTTGCCGTGGCCAAGCGCGAGTAATGATGCATTGGATATACAAGCATTAGATGCGAGTTGTAAAATAAGTCACAGTTAAGTCAATTGGATGGTGAGCAAACATTATGGCTTGTAGCGGCGTTATTAGGGTTTAACATGGTTCAAGAAGGTGTAATACTATGTAATTCATGTTCCAGTACTATGAGACATAAGCACGCGTTGATGACGTGATACTTAGCCAAGAGCTGCAAGGCTACAGCAAGTTAAGATTGGTGAAGCAAGAGCATGAGCTTTTATTTAACAATATTCCCACCGACTCAAACGGATTCAGTTGCGAAAGGAAATTAAGCCGGAGAAAGGGTAATGAAGCAGAACGACGGCGATGTCCAGGCTTCGTCAGAAGGCAAATGGCCGTGCTAAGAGGCGTGGCTAGATCCGAACGAGTGGCGTGGGTCGCAGGGTCAAGCCACGAGTCGCAAGGCCTCGCCCCGAGGCAATGTGTCGTGCCTGGTATTATGCCCGGTAGTGTATCTGATGGTTATAGTTGCCGTATTCACTGACCTACTCGATGGTTACGATGGGATATATAGCAGTAGCTAGTGGAAATTAGGTCTTCGAGTCAGTTCTCGGCACCTTATGATCACTAGATTTGAGTAGGATGCTCGACATCGTAGAAGTTGCCACGTGGGACTTTTTCGTACTTGTCGCAGGTCAAAATCTCAAACTTTGGTAATTAAACCGTTTATAACAATAATAATTCGAAAATAACGAAATATAAACATTAGTACAATACAGACTGCAATATTGCATCATGATCAATAAATGAGAGTAATGAGGGTTAGTATCTTTGCTATAGGTACAGAGTTACATGACAGTAATGTTAATATACAACAGTTACCACATATAACAAGAAAGAGCACCTTGGATTGACTACAAGGCGCATTACACATGATGAGCAGGGGGACGAATACGGTATTGACGCACGGGGCTCTTTAAATATCTTCTGGAGGAGGCGGTGCTTTGGCACAGGTCCGGAACCTTTACCGAAAACACCCATCATCTTCCGTCTCCAGTTCCCTTGTGATCAGATGACTGAGGACGATTTGCCGGACAGCTTCATGCCCTTTTGTGTTACCGTACCCGTGACGGTTTGGAACAAATGCAACACACAAAAGGTTCCGATTGTATGAAAAGAGTGTGGTTCACAAAGGATGCTTACGACAACCAAAGTTTCTCTCAACGAAGTGAAAACGTTTACATGCTGCAAGATCGCAAAGCGATGCTATAGGCCACAAATATGGTTACCGTAGACCTACGATATAATGAAAGAATAGTAACTATTCTGGCAATAGTTGCTATAGGATATGCATGTAGGGCATTCGGTCTAATCAGAACACATAAAGAATAAAGTTACAATAGAGAACATTATTTTCTATTAGATAATGTTTCTTGGTCGACTTGTCCATAGTTACACGAGGAGATGATCGGGTTCATGTCTGCGTTTGGTTATAGCATTGCCCTCTCATGTCTTCCTTTTGTAGTGACGTGTCAGCTTCGCAGTTAGGAGCTCAGTTTTTTTTACCATAGACTTGTAGAGAAAAACTATTCTACTAGCTTGCGTCCAAGCTGGACTATCTAAAGCACGACATAGCGCACCAGTTGTGCTAGTTCCCACTCAAACCTCGCTTATAGAGCGCTAAGTATTTAGTTCGTTGCGTTATCTCTAAGATGTCCAATGTTGGTCTGTTAGTAATAGGCAACAGGTAATAGGAATAAACCAACACAACTCAATCTTCTCTAACTCTGTTTAGTTATAATGAATATTTGCTTCAATTTTTATACCAACAGTCTATATCGGAAAAAACTAGACGCTGCCTCTTTTCTAGTGGCAGTGCAAGGTTTTATTGTCAATAATTTCGCACTTTCACATGAACGAGTCTTTCGTTAGTGACGATTTTTATCATAGTAAGCAAGACTGACTGTGCATGATTGGGAATTGCTGGGAAGTTTTGTGCGTAGAAGTAATAAAAGGACAAAGCTTAGCAGCAAAAATCGAGACAAGTGGTACGGGTTTATTTAAATCAGGGAAAAACTATCAAGCTGTGTAGAAACCATTGTGTACCAAAATATTAGGCTTCAGAGAATGTCTGATATAAGAAGTATCAAACATGAAAATAGGGTTTTATAAGTCTAAGATGCTAACTGATATCTTCACTTCTGATTAGTTCACCTAAAATGCTAAGGTCAGTAAACAAATACAAGACGGTGAATCCGGCAAAACTGTTGTTGCTGAAGTTTTGCCGAAAAAAAAGAGTTGAAAGATTATCAAAAAAAAGCTAGTCTTACATTGGGGGAATGACTCGAAAGACCGACTTTCTATAAACCTCGGCATAGATGGTTGATATATTTATTTATATGGTCTTATAAACCGATCTTCTTAAGCTGATGCGAGGTTGGTACAGGTCTTCGTTGTGGATGGCTGACGTTTCGGCGAATTCGCCTTCCTCAGAGCCGTGATGTTACCTTGAGAAGGTCAGTTTATAGGATCATATAAATAAATATATCAACTCAGGGAATAGTTACAACAAGGAGGAAGTTCAAAAGGGCACAACTGAAGATTGTGCACAAGTGTGCTATCGTTTTCTGCATAGTTTGATCACGTCATGCAGATATAGGAACGGTCTTCTTCTTTGGAACAATCGTATTCACTTGGATACTTCAATGGCGCGTCTTCATTGGCTGTGAGATCCCTAGCAAAATTTGCATTCATTTCCTTCTCTCGCAGTCATCGACCGTGGTGATTGCCTCCTTCGAACATTGTGGCGTCCAGGAGGCCCATTCCATAATCCTGAAATCGTTGCAACCTACAAATGCAGATGGTTGACGTAAGCCACGAACACATCCGCTCATAGTTCGTCTTCCAAGAGGACGCTTGCATTCTTTTGGAGTCCATCCCATTGTTTTTTTTCGTCCATATTATCTGCTCCTATTACATGACCGACATATCTGTACTTCGTTGTCGATGTGCAATCTCTTAGATCTGAAATATCGGATAACTTACGAGGGTCTGAACTGTTCATTCTGGCTAGATTTTGTATGCCAGCTAAATTTCAGAAGACATCGTTCAAGAATTTTGTGGGTGATCCGTGGATTTCTCGACGTTGTTGAGGTATCCGCTCACGTTTCTGCTGCGTAACAAAGCGCTGGGGTGATTCGAGAAGGTGAGCGCGGAGTTTGGATATGTTTGTTGCTTGGTGGCTTTTTTTCAGTGGTCAGAATTAGGCCCATGCTACCGTCTTTCTTCCATCTAGTTCCTGCTTCGTTTTAGTCCTCGTGTTCATTGAACGTCCCAGGTGCACGTTCAAGATGGTTTCTGTAATCGGAAAACCATAAAGTTCGATTCGTTCGCTTATCCACAATAGTTTCTTCGTCAACTGGATCTTCGTCCTATCTGTGCGCAGTCCAATCTTTTTCTGGCTAGCAGTAAAAGTCTTTGGCAATGTTGTGCCGCTTTGTCAAGCCCCTTTTTCTATGGATATGGTGTGGGGTCGATGAAAAAGCTGTATGTTTGTTCATTGCGCATCGTATCTTTGTTTTACCGTTACTACTCTAAAGGTGGCGATATCATCCGCGAAACGAAGATTTTATAGAGATTTTGCAGCACTACTATGCCCTTTTGGTCCCAATCGGCTAACTTCTTTATCCACTGCAGTGTAGCAGTAAAAGTCTTTGGCAATGTTGTGCCGCTTTGTCAAGCCCCTTTTTCTATGGATATGGTGTGGGGTCGATGAAAAAGCTGTATGTTTGTGCTACAGTTCCGATAACAGTCGGCTAACGTTCGTATATAGGACGGGTCCACTCCTTTGTCTACGGGCACTGAAAGGATTGCATTCATTTCGACGCTGAGAGACGTTTTTTCATAGTGAATAAAGGTTAAGTTAAAGCGAAGACAATAATCTCGACAAATTTCTATAACCTGTAGTACGGTTTGGATGAGGTCCCTGCGGCAGAGTTCCTTTCGAAATTCTGTTTGTTCAACTGGTTGTGCCTCATCCAAAGTTTTTGATATACGCAAAGGATAATCTTCTCCAACAGCTTGTAGAGTACACTCAAAAACCATAATGAATAGTAGCTAGGAACCTCTTCGGTCACTCTTCTAGGATATGACTTCCATGCGCCAGGTGCTCCTGGTCTGGAATTTCCGCTTTCTGAAGTCAAGATTGCCAGTGTTATATGTAATTCGTGGCCACCAGCTCTAAGGAAATCGGCGGTGATAATATCGAGTTTGGAGCTGTCTCTCTCTTCATGCTTCCTATCTCAACTCGAGTTTCAGAGGCTATAATCTGGCACGCTTTTTCACCAGTGGGGATTACAGGGTCCGAGATGGCGATTGTAGAGCGAAAAATTGGTATAAAACCGTTCCGTTATAAATTCCATACAAGGGCGAGGTGTTTTCATAGTCCTCCCAACGGTTTATCGCCTCATCGTGGCTGGGAGGTGTTCGTGGGTGTCGGGCTGCGATGTACAGCAGGGGATTCATCTCCTGGTAGGCTCTCCCAAGCCGAGAAGGAGTCCGGCATATCCATCAGGAAGCCTTGCGAAGACTAAACCAGTACCAGGATCTCCACCATCGTCTTGGTATCAAAGTCACATGGTGGCAAATCTCTCTCTGGTCCACAAGGGCTGCGACTGCCTGTGGTGGTGAAGATCTGGAGTAGACTTTGGCCAGGCTGACCTTGGGACTCTAGAGAACCGTAATCGTTTAACCAGCAAATCTCCGAAAAATGGAAATTATGCTGGGGCCGGTTAACCAGTGAGGACGGGCCATTCAAGTATCAAGTAAGTAAGTTTTCATAGTCCTATATTCGTTCATCAGGACGGATACTGGAACATTATAATCGTAAGGATCCCGCTGACGTTTTTTTACTCGTTCGACGAGCAGCATCTAGTCCTAGGTCGGGTTTTAGTTTATATGCTACTCATATGAGGAGAGGATTAGACTGAGAATATCCTCGTCGTACACAACTAGTTTTGCTTTTCTTGCACGATAACATGAGTTCTTTTCGAGCTTATAGTTGTAAAGAATCTTCACAGAAGAAGGAAGCGATCAAATCGAGTGTAAAACCCTGGTACCACCGACGTTTCAAAGAGGCACCATTTTCTCTTCATGAAAAATACGATCGATTTCCGCATGAATCATACATTTGGAAGGCTCCCGTGTCCGTCAGCGATTTTCTGTCCTCTTGAGAAATGAAATTTCATAGAAGAGATGAATTGGGTGCAGAAGTCCTACAAGACGATCTCCATTATCATTTCGTTCTCCAATTTCTAATTTCTATATCCTGTGCTCATTTTCATTGGGCGTTCCTAATCTGGCGTTAATGTCTTCAACAACGAATTTGTAAAAGGAGTTTTCTTTGCAAATTACTTTCTCCAACTGGTTGTTGAACGCGTCAATTCGCTCTGATCAGCTCTAAAAAGTTGGTGAAAAGCGGTCGGTGATAGTCAATTTCTTTTGACGTGGGACTTAGAGACGAAGAATGGCCAAGCGCGGTGGTAG